CTGCCTCCCTCTCTTGGGACCTTCTGCTAAAATTAACAGTGCTGCCCTATGCCCTGCTTTGCTCTATCGGCAGCTGTCTGAGTGGATGGGGAGGGGGGTGGAAAGCACACTTAAAAAAGCAAAAGTGTTAGATACGGATAACTCCCCTTTAAATGTCTCACTTATGTGTGGGAAAAAAAAAAAAAACAACAAACAATAAAAGTCATGGAAAAATGTCTTTACTTGCAGTATGAACCTTGGGGAGGTCCCTAGGCTCTTTCCTTTGTGATGCTGTGACTGCAAATGAATTAATTATATCAAGAGTCTGCAAAGAGCAGTGAGAAAACTACAGAGGAGTGAAATGAGCGTTGATGATGCCACACCCCCAGTCCCTTAATTTCACCACTCTTCTTCATCCGCAGGCTTAGAAACAAGGAATGTTATGGAGAATGTTACAGCTCCCCTGCCATGACTGTGGAATCTGGAATAAGAGTTGGAGGCTTTCTGCCTTCTTCCTCCTGTGGGGGGTGAATTTTGAAACCCTCCTCCCTGGGTTGGGTTGCCCATTGTTTTGCAGGGCGATGATGAGTGGTGCTGGTTCCTGCCTAGCTTCCCTCTGTCTGAACGTGGCCCTTCCAGTGTCTGTCCCATGGCTCCTGCTGTGCCCAGGAGGTTTGTGGAGGGGGTGGCCCTGGCTGACCCCTTTCTGGGGGTGCATGGTGCTGTGCATGGGCCCTTGGTGAGAAGCCTTAAGGAATCAGAGCTGGCCTCTTGGTTTCCTCAGCTTTGTGTCCTGGTCATCACTTTGACATATGCCAACCTCAGGGCAGGGCGAGCTCGGAGGGCTGCTCCTGAAACTGGAAAGCTGAAAATCCTCCCCCCCCCCCCTCCCGTGGTTGGAAGGCCACAGAGAGGGCTCTGGATGTGCCACATCTCTGCTTTCTTGGCTTCTCCACTGGCAGAGGAAAAGCTGAATTAAGAAAGCAAACGGAGAGGAAACTGGGGAGGAATAACGGCAGCACTGTGTGCTGAGGACAGCTCTGGACTCAGTCCTGCACTGGTTGCCCTGGAAATTGGATGCTTCCCACTGAGCTGCCCACTTTGCTGGCTGCTGCTGGGAGGGGAGCAATGTCCAGAACCACCAGGGAGGAAAAAACAAAGGGGAATATGGATGCAAATGATGGTATCAGGGTTTTCTCTATTAAGGGAGACCCCAAGCTCTTTTCCCTATGCCTTTTTGGACAGTCGAAAGAAGTAAACCCCACCAGCTCAGCAAACACAAAGTGAGGCAAAATCCAAGCACTCTGGGGGCTGGCTGTGGGTCTGCAGCCCTGCAGTGGGGCTCATCCACAGAACCTGGGAGCCAGCATGGTGCTCAGCACAGAAACAGCAGCCCCAGAAACACAGCATCCCTAGGAAGGAGCAGTGGACTGATGCTCCAATCCAACCAGGCAGCAAAAGACTCCCTGCAATCAGTGCCCAGCACCACCTTTATGGGCACTGCAGTGTGTGCCCCCTGCAGCACCCTGTCCCATGCAGCCTTTTGATGCCAGCACTGCACTATTATTATTATTATTTAAAGGTATGCACAAGAGATTAAGCCAGCAGGCCCTGTTATGATTGCTGGGCATTGTGCTCCATGCTGACGCTGGTTTCTGTGGGCCAAGCTCCATCCATGAGCGAGCAGCAGCTTCAGAGGGGGGATTTAGCGCAGCTGAGTGCATTCAGACATAGTGGATTCCTGCTGCATTCAAGCATCTCCTTTTACTCACCAGGGAATGGGCTGAGTTTGTTGTTTCAACATTTTCTCATCCATCTGTTGGAAATGGGTGAGCTGATCCCTGATGGGCTGAGAGATGGCCCTGTCCTGGGAATTCCCTAACAGCTGTGTTCTGTGGGAAACTCGGACACGCGGCAGCATCTCAACACAGCACGACTGCTCTGGACCAGTGAGGACAAAGCTGGGCAGCAGCCAGCAGCCCTTCGGGAGGAGTTGGGAGGGTACAAGAGCAGGGCAGGATGGCAAACGGGGGACCCTGCATCGTGCCCCATGCACTGCCTCCCTACCTGCTCCCTGCCACTGCCCCCAGTGCCACCACCTGCAACAGCTGCAGGGCTTGGAAACTCCACTTGCCCAGAGCCTGATAAATTATACCTTAGTCCTAAAGGGGCTCAGGCTTTTTTTTTTTTTTTTTGCAAACACATGCAGCACAAAAGCTGCCTTTCTCCCTCTCATTTGACTTTGTTTTCTCTCCCTCCTCATCTGCTTTCAGCCAAATGGGTGAATAGCTTCAGTATATACTGTGGGAGGATAAAGCCAAGGCTGGAGCAGTGGGAAGGATGCAGAACAGCAGTGCCCTGTGCCCGCTGCCTTCCGGAGGGGTGGGCACTGTTTGCAACCCTCGCTCTGTAACCCAGCCTCCATCACTTTGCTGAACCCTTTAAGACTGCAGCACTGAAAGAAAATATTTGTGCTCTGGCTAGCACATGTGCACGCTTCCTGCTCTTGAAATCCCTAATTAAGCTTGTTTTTTATTTATTTATTTTTTCTTTTTGTTTAGAAAATCCTTCCCTTTCGGGACATGGGATGTTTTTCTCCAAGCCATTGGGGATCACCGTGTGCAGGAACCAAGGGGGATCTCCCATCCCTTGCCTGCTTTCTGCAGCCTGTGGGGTTATTTTGGAGATTCTCTCATTTACTGGGTGGTTCAGCTGAGTCCAACCTCTCCTTGGGCTAAAATCATATCCTGTCAGTCAGATGGTAATTAGAAAGCATCAAAAAGCCAGTGGTGCTTAAGGCAGTGCCGGGGTAACCAAGGCAGCTTCTACTTCTGTGGATAAAGGACTGAGTTTGGAAGCTGTAGACGTTTCCACTGAAATCAGATTTTGATTTAAAAAGGAGAAGGAAGGTAGAATGGGGTGAAAAATGCCTCCCAGGAGCATAGCAGCACTACAGCACTGCTGCAGCCCATCTATCGGGGCTCACCCAGCTCTTACTGGTGCTGCGGTTAGACGTGGCCCTGCATACCTAAGTGAGGTGACACAGGGTGTTATCACCCATCTCTGGCTGCATGCTCATGGCCTTGGAGATGCACACTGCACTCCCTGGAGGCAGGACACCAGAAGGTAATTTTTCTGGAGGTTCCTTATCTTATCCCAATGAGACAAAGGAAGGCAGAGAGCGTCCTGCAGGTCTGGCTGAAACGCTCTGTTCCCTGATAAGCTTGCAAGGTTGACGCAGGAACACAGGAGATGCTGTCCTGCTGGGTTGTGATGGAGAAAACAAGCAGCAGCTTGGGCTCATCCAGCAGCCCTGATCTAATAGGAATCACTGTTGTTTGGTGTTCTCCCTGATGTGCCTGTTCGGAACAGGGTCAGTGCAGCAGAGACAGCAAACACCATGAGCCACACACACACAGAGCTTCCATAGGAAAGCAAGGACACCCTCGGGGAGGCTGCAGTCCTGCAGATGGATGCTGAAGCTTCAGGCATCTGGAGGAGTCTCCCAGCTGGTGGAGGGCAGAAACCTCTGCTTGTCTGGCTCAGTGATAAACAGGCTTCAAGCAAAACAGCCAGTTCAGCAGCGGGGAGGATAAGCCAGGGGAGTAGGGACAGTGTAAGCTGCAGCCAAGGACGAGCAGCCTGGATCCCAGCAAGCCAGACTAGGAGTTACTCCCTTGTGTGCACGACAAGGACAGCTGGCTCCAGGCACAGCAGTGCCACAGTGTGCCACTCAGCTCTATGCCAAGCTAATGGCATGCACCCTGTCCCTGCACATGGCCATCAGAGCAGAGCTGCTGGGCATGCAGCTGCCAGTAATGGGCTGGCTGTGTCTGGGAGGAAGCTGAAAGCAAAAATTAGCTAATATGGGCAGGAATACCAGCTGAGAAAATGCAAGAAAATGATGCAGTGATGTTACTTTTATCACTGATCTTATTCTCTTTTTGAGAATCGTGATCATTGATCATTCTCTTACATTAAAAAGTAATTAAAAGGGTCTGCAATGTGTTCCTTGAAATGTCTGCAGCCCCTGGAAGTGCATCTGCAGCAGTTAGTTGTGCTTCAGATCAATGGTCAAGAAGAACTTGACGTACTGAAGCTCTCCAGGAAAAGATCAAGTTGCAACAGTGCCAAATGTAATTTCAATGTACAAGTGTGAAATATCTCCTAAATATAAAGTGACCACTTCCTTCCAACTTCCGCTGGTTTTCCTGTCTGCAGATCAAGCCACACGTAACTGGTAGACATGGAAGACATCCTCTGAGTGAAATGACTGTGGACAATCCCATCAGTGGGCTGAGAGACTTGAACTGAATGAACGGAAGCTGGACCAGGCAACAGTGTAGCCCATAAGAGAGAGTCCCACATCCCCCTGCTTCCTCCATCCCTTCTGCACTGCTCATCAGCATGGGCATTCTCCTGCCATGCCAGTCACACCTGGGGATCTTGCCCAGCATCAGGGCTTTGTGGTGCTGTTAACCTGTTTGGTAAGCAGGCATGGAAAGAGGCAAAAAGGTGAAGGGATTGATACAGGTGTGCTGAACTGGACTCAGGATCCAGAAGGATTCTTCACATTCCTATGGGAATGTACTGACCTGATAAGCACTGCACTACTGCCAAGTCTGTGTTTCTGCTCCTACCTGCAGTGTGGTTGGCCTCTTAGCTAAACCATGTTGCTGGGGTCCAGTGATTTCTGCCCAGCGGTCTCCTGCAGCTCCAAAGCACGCTTGGTTATCCCTGACCTACAGCACCCACTCTGCAAAAATTCCTTCTTCCCATTCTGAATGGAAAGTTAATGTGTTCTGTGGAGGAAGCAAACATCCGCCACAGATTCCCTGAATCTAAGTGACCTTCAGCTGAGTTTTCCTGAGCCATGTCTCTCAGGCAGAGGTTGCAGTCAGCTTCTAAAGATAGGTGCAACTTCCTCAGACCTGCCTTGCATGTGATGGGTAGTTTCCCACCCTTAAAAGCCGCTTGTACAGAAAACCACATAAAGACACACAAGACACACAGACACATGCTGAAAGATAGAAGCAGCACCTCGATTTACTGTGGGACTAGAAACAGCATATAACCTCCTTCTCTAGATTTGTCCACTTTTAAAGCCCAAATGCAGCTGTCTCCTCCTGCCAGCTCTCTCCTTTCCGACATCTGGCAGGGTAGCAAAGGTCAAATGGCAGAGCAAGGTGGGAGATATGCAAACAGCTTAAACCATCTTATTTGCTGGTCAGGTTTTGAGTTCCTGTAATAAATAAATAAATAAACAAGAAAACAAATAAGTGGGAGAAAAAAAAAAAAGCAGAGGCACGGAGGAGATAAAGCTATGCAAAGATGCCCTCTGCTGGCCACAAGTCAAAGGAAAAGGCGATGGTTAATTCTTTGCAGGTATTTCAGATGTAGTTCATAGGTTCCCCTGCAGATTGATACTGGCTCCTGCAGTCAGTACTGTGAGCTGGAAACTATTTGAGGCACCAATCAAATCAGAGCGTGCTCCCCTCTCTCTCTTTTAAATAGCAATGTTATTTGATTAAAGTTAGGATTTAAACATAGCTTCTTAGAAGTATTGTTAGCATGCTCGTATGATACAAATTGCAGATATTTTGTCTGTTAAATCAGTCTACTAAACAGTGCAGATATACTGCATGCAGATATTACTATCAGTTCGACTTTTTCTTCAATCATTTTAAGTCCTGCTGGCTTAAACCTCTCCTTTAACTTACTGACTGGGAATTAATCAGTATGAACTGATTTTGGTGCACCTCTGCTGGATAATTGTGAAGATCAAGTGAGACCATTTTAAGACAAACTAGGCCATTTTAAAACAATGCTACTGCATTAGAAAGCTCCAGCACAGAGCCAAGCTTTTAAGAGATGCTGCATAATTATCAAGGACACTAAAGAAAAGCACATACAGTGAGTGGGCAACCCTCTCCTCTCACTTCATTCTCTTTCACTGAAATTAAATCCTGTCCACAAAAACCTTTCACAGGAAGGAGGGTGCATGTCAGCATCATGCAGGGGCTCCAGGAAAATCCACAGGCTGCAATTGGGTTGTCTTTGAGATAGATGTCCAATTGGCCAGGGGCTGAAAGAGTTTGGAGCCAATCTGGAAACCAGCATTTCAGCAGGGTGCTGCTCCTTTGTACCCTTGGAGGATGTGTAAGTGCAGTAACAACATGATCAAAAGCTGGAGTTTCCTTTGCTAACAAACAACCCCCTGAAGCACCTACTCACAGGTGTCTTTCTGTCTCATCACTGTCCCCAGCATTTTTGGTCACTCTCTCTGGCCATTTCACCAACGTCCTTGGGGTTTGTTTTCATTCATGATATACTCTGGCAAACTCTAGGTTCACCTAGTAATTGCACAGAGGCTACGTTCTACCTCTCCACACAATTAGATCATACAAGCATCAGTCAAAACCTCTCAAATTATCAAATGCCATAGTTCTCCTTTGGCTGCAGATACTACAGCCATAGTTCGGATCCTATGGGCTTTGCAGAGCAACTGAGGAGTCCTATATGGAAATGGTGCTGGCTGCATGTGCTCCCACTGCTTCTCCAGCATGAGGGGATTGCTAAAGCTAGACCTACAAGTCTCTCCTCCTTTGTGCTTCCCAGGAAACAGTGTGGTTTACTGAGAAAGCTGGAACAAGCTCAGATCTCTTCAGTGTTTCATACACCTGATATATACCTAGCCTCCTCACAGCAGGCTACTGCACAGACTTCTCCCCCAGGTAGGATGCGCTCTTTCCAGTCTTCTTTAGAGTTTCCAATAGGGTGTCAACATTGTGCTCTGACTCAATGTACACCTTCTTGTTGGGCAGGTCAATATCAAACTGGACACCTGGAAGGAAAGCAAAAACATTTTACTTAGGTAGAAGCAAATGGTATGAGAGCAGGGAAAAGCTCACTTTCATGCATTTGTGCTCCCAAGGCCACCAAGTCAATCGTACATGCCTCTTGTCAGCAAACTTCTATCCCGTGACCAGCCAGCACAACCAGAGCGGGATCCCACCAGCACTGGTACAAAGGAAGCCAGATTGCCTATAGATGTGCATTAGGTGCCATAGCTTTATTAGGGGGCTTTATTAGACTAGCACAATCACAAGCATTAACGAGAACAAGTAGAGTTTAAACCGACCACTATAACCTCCAGACAGCTCACTCTGTACTGAGATTTGGAATGGAGGGACACTAATAAGGAGATGATGTGGAAGTTAAGATGGGGTCGGGGCAGGTTTCATCAGTGGCAGTACCAGCTAGCAGCTGTAAGCAGGAGGAGGACAAAGACACCTTCCATGTGGGTATCCCACTGGTAAATAAGTTCAGCCACTCTCAAACCAGTGAGAACTCAATGAAGCTTCTACCCAACCATACAGTGTCACAAAACTTGTAGATATATAATAGCTTTGGCAGCTCTGTTGCTCCATCCCATGAGGCTGAATTTGGCCAGCATGTCAAAGAGTGATGGGAGAACAGAGGTGCTGAAAACCACACACAGAGGAACAGAAATCACCACAGCCTGGCAATGGGGTCCTGAAGAATTCTCACAGCTTGGCGATTGTGAGCTGTTCCCACTCGGTGAGGATGGGTAAATAGGATGACAAGTCCTCATAACTGGTGAGTGCAGGCCAAATCCTGCTCTCCTGCTGATCTCAGCACAGAGGAGACACAAGTTATAATTTTCCAGGTTGTACAAAAAGCAGGCTGTGCAAGCAGCCACCAAACCCTCAGTTCAGCAGCTCTTCACCATGACTGTCCTGCATTTGGATGCCGATGACACATCCAGGGAAGCAGCACAGCTACCATCGGCCTCCTAAGGAATGGCACCTGGCAGGAGATCCACCTCCTCTTCTTCTGCCCAGCCATCCTGAGCATTGGGGTGCAGCTCCTGGCAGCTTCGGGACGAGGTCCTGGTGGTGCATAGAGCCACCTGACGCTTGAAGCCTCCCGCATCCCCAGCACCTCCTCCTTCCCATGCTATTTCTCCAAGGCTCACACCAGTTCTGCTAGCAATCAGCTACCAGCAGCTCAAAAGCAGAGCGTTTGGTGGCAGAGTTTTCCACCCGGACACTTCCAGCTGTTACCCACATTGCTTCCTGCTCAAAACGGAGGACCACGAGGCAGTGATGTCTGGCCCCAGAGTCGTCACACACCCTGTAGCTTGACTCACCTCCCAGTCTGTGCAGGACACGGGTGACTGCATTGGAGCAGCCTTCGCAGGTCATGTCTACAAAGAACTCGTGTCTCTGCAAAAAGACAGACGAGGGGTCAGGAGCATTCACCACCATCTTCCATGTTCTCCTCTGGCCTCAGGGAGGACAGCTCCAACCTTCCTCAGTCAAAACGTCCAAACGTTCCAAGATGGGTTCCTCAGCAGAACTGAGAGCTCTCAGTACTTCTCCCTGTGGTGTCCTTCTGTTGTCCCTCACAGAACAACCACAGGGGACCTCTAGAAACCGCCTGGTCCAACCACGCACTGAAAGCAGGACACCTCCAGGGCCAGTTCAGCCCTCTGGGGGTTCTGCTGGACCCACGTACCATGCACAGCCCAGGAGGAGCAAGTCCCCTGCTTTGCTCTGCAATGCCCACCCTATTCTTGTGCCTCTGGGCCCCGATGTCACAAACCCATAAAAACATCACAAAAATAAGTTTGAGGACTGCTCCCCAGCACTACCTGCAGTATTCATGAGTGGCACTGGGCAATGAACATGTGCATGGCCCTAACACTGACCACTGCTCTCAGCCTTCAGTACTGGACAGACCCTCATCTCCTCTACTTTCTCCTTTTCTTACTTTTTCTTTCTTTTTTTTTCTTACTTTTACTTACTATCATTTTTTTAAAGCTCTTTACTATGAGAGTGGTGAGGTGCTGGAACAGCTGCCCAGAGAGGCTGTGGATGCCCCGTCCCTGGAGGTGTTCAAGGCCAGGTTGGATGGGGCCCTGGGCAGCCTGGTCTGGTATTAAATGTGGAGGTCGGTGGCCCTGCCTGTAGCGGGGGTTGGAGATTCATGATCCTCGAGGTCCCTTCCAACCCGGGCCATTCTGCGACTGTGATTCTTTACCTGATTTCCTTTAAAAAGCAAGATCGTTGCTTCCTACTTGCAATCCCTCCATCTTTTTACTCCAAACCAAGCCTTTCGCCCCCCCCCACCATCTTCACAGCACGGATCAGTCCGGAACTGAGCAGAACCGCAGCGCTCAGCACCACCATTTATTACCATTTTCAATCTGAACTGGCACTTCCTTGATGTTTTGATAAGCGAGCGGGAAGGACGGACCCTGCAGTTCCTAGGCTGGGCGCTCGCCACGCTGCCCGCAGCCCCCGGCCCTTCGATCCCCCTCCCCACCGCCTCCCACCCCCCGCCGCCCCGCAGCCCGCCCGCCCGGCCCGCACCCACCGGCATGGCGCGGCGCGGCGCGGCTCCCGACTCGGAGGAAGGGGCGGGCGCTGAGCTCAGCTCCGCACAGCGCCCCCGGGGCCCCGGGAGGCTGCGCCGGGTACTCGTTGCCCGTGTCTGCAGCGGGAGCTTCGGAGCTCTCGGCTTCGGCTCACCCGTTTGCTGCGCGTGTTTGTTTCGATGCGTTCTTAAGCGTTTTTAATGGGACGGTGTAAGTTTTAGGAGAGTTGCTTTTGTTCTGAGAACCGCACCTTGGTTCTGTTTCTCTTCTCATTTATCTGATCTGTGCGTTAGAGTTGTTGAGGGAATGGCAGCTCTCTGGGTCACAGCGAAACAGAATTTCAGCCGAAGGCCCTCGCTCTGCTCACCCAAGGTGGGAGCAAGGCTGATGTCAACTGAGAGGCCAAGAGGCTTAGAGAAAGTGGTTTTGAGATGTGCCGTGGGGTTATGGACAGATAGAGGAATCAGGGGTCATCTCTACTTCAGAGCATGCTGAGTGAGAGGATGCTGGTCCCTGAGGATGGTTCTCTCCGCTCTGTTTGGCTTCTCCCCAGCTGTTTGGCCCTTTGAAGGAGGATGGGCTCCTTTCACAGAATCACAGAATGGCCAGGGTTGGAAGGGGCCTCAGGGATCATGAATCTCCAACCCCCCTGCCACATGTGGAGCCACCAACCTCCACATTTAATACCAGACCAGGCTGCCCAGAGCCCCATCCAACCCGGCCTTGAACACCTCTAGGGATGGAGCATCCACAGCCTCTCTGGACAGCTGTTCCAGCACCTCACCACTCTCTCTGTAAAGAACTTCCCCCTGACATCCAACCTAAATCTTCCCTCCCTCAACTTAAAACCATTTCCCCTTGTCCTGCCATTACCTGCCCTTTCAAAGAGTTGATTCCCCTCCTGTACTGAAAGGCTGCAATGAGGTCACCCTGCAGCCTTCTTTTCTCCAGACTGAAGAAACCCTTTCCTACACACTGCAGCCAGGTGGAGGAGCTGGGGCAGAGCCCAGCAGCTCAGGTGCACCAGGCAATGAGACGGGCTGAGGAGCACTGGGTGGATGTGAGACTTCCTGAGCAGTGCTGGGCTTCACAGTCCTCCTCCTCAGGAGCTGAACCTGTAGCTGGAAGGATAACGGGAATGCATCTGGTTATTTGCTCACACACTGAATAGAGCTGTGTCCTGGGGTGTTGGCAAGCTTTGGCTGACCCCCATACACTGAGTTTATACCCTCCAGACTGAGCCCTGATGGGAGACCGAGCAGAAGGGGCCATGGATGCCTTTTCCAGCACGCTTCCACGCGGGCATTCATTTTGTCGTGCACAGGACCTGGTTATTGTGCTGCTTTATCAAAACATGAGTTCCCTATTCCTACATTGCCACCGTGGTCCCAGCTGCAGCAGTTATTCTAGCTGTTGTTGTGGGTCATCGGTCTGACGTTGAGCTCCACAGCAGCGCGTGTGATTTATGCACTGGCAGATTGCAGTGCAGCTCTATAAATAGTGACGGTGGGGGAGAAGGATATTAAGGCAGAGCACGGCCCAGCACCAGGCACATAGGGAGGGATTTGGGTAGTGGGCAGGGATGTGGTGGTGGGGAAGGAAGTCAGTTGGAGAGGGTCAAATATATCTCAGAGTGCTTCACGTCGTAGATGCGATGGGATGTGATATAAACACAGCGGGCTTGCTCAGCCGTCTGCCTGCTTCTCCTCCATCCTGCTCTCCTCAGGGCCTGAGCATCTGCACTACGAGGGCCGGATGAAGCCCTAGTGAGGCCCGGTGGTTCTGTACGGACCTCGCAGCCTGCTCGAAGCGATGGCCCAGGCCTGTCCTCCAGCAGGGGGAGGTGCGGGCATCCAGTGCCGCCCCCCGTGCGGGCTGACGGTCCCTTTAAGGATGCCGGGGCCTGCCTGTCCGTCAGAGCCTGCCGCGCTCTCCTATTGGTCGCTACGCCCCGTGCCGCATGGGGGTTCCGCCCCTATCTATAACGGGGTTTACCAGCACCTTCTCAAGGGCGCTGCCGTGCGCCTCAACCACACTACCGCGTCACGCCTGCCCCGCCTTTCGCGCCTGTTCGCGCGGGCAGCGTCGTCCTATTGGCTAAGAGGAAAATCCATTAGGTCTCGCCCCGCCTCACCACGGAGAACTTCGCCGCCTATTGGTTCGTATCGGTGTCGGTCAATCTCCCTTCTTCGTGGAGCCAGTCCTCGTGGTTGATGGAGTGAGCTGCCATTCTGTTACCAGCCCGCCTCCTTTCCCCTCTCTAAGCCAACCGGCGTCCGAGTGGAGGAGAGCGGCGCTCTCTGATTGGTGGAGCTGCCTCCGCCGGGTTAGGCTGCGCGCCGGATATATCTAGCCGGCGGCAGAGCACGCCGTTGCGTGAGGTGCTTCTCGTCCGCCGGGCAGGCCTGTGGTCAAGCGACGCCTCCCGCTCCCGTCCCGCTCCGCCCGCAGGTGAGGGGGAGGGCCGGAGGTGGGCGGGAGGGAGCTGGCGGCAGCTGGCGGCGGGGCCGCGGCCTCGCGGGGACGGCGGAGGGCCGCGTGCGGCGGGGCGATCCCCTTTCCATCCCCCACCTCCACGTTTCCCCCCTCTTCTTCCCCCCCAAACCCTGGGGTAGGCCGCGGCCTGGAGGGGCCGATGGGGACGGCGATGGGGACGGCGCTGAGGCCGCCGCTCGTTCTCGGCCCTCGTCCCGCGGTGAAGCCCGCCCGGCTCCGGCGCGGCTTTGTGGGCAGCACGGCGGGGCGGGCAGCGCCCTCGGGGCCGTGCGTGGAGGGCGCGGGGTTGCCGGGCGCCGTTGGGCTGCGTGCTTACCGTGCGCGGGGGGAGGAGCGGCCGGCGCGATGTGGGGCTGCGAGCTTTGTTCTGCGCGCTGCATGCTTTTCTTTCTTCCTTCTATTTTTCCTTTCAGTCCCCTGCTTTTTATCCTTTGGCCGGTTTGTTTTTGCTGTGAGGTAACACGGCGCTGGTCTCCAAGGGCTCAGCGCTCCCTCCGGGCCGCCGGCAGCTCGGTGCCGCACGCGTGATTTCGGGGCGCTGGATGCAGGATTGCGGCGCGGCTCCGCTGCCCGTGTGACCTTGGCCGGGCCGGGATCGAGCCGAGATTTAAAGCGGTGCTGCTGAGAAGGCCGCTCAGCCTCCTGCGAAGCCCGAAATGCGTCTGGTTGAGCGGGGGGAACAACGGCGGAAAGGCTTGGGTATCGTCCACGTGCGCTTTGCTCTTGGATCCGCACGACCTGATGAATTTTTCCGGGGATACTGATGGCTTCTTTTGTTATGGCTTTCGTACACGTAGTGAGCATTCATTGCAAAAACAATGACTTGTTTTCGTGTTGTCGTCCCCCCCTTTCCCCCCCACGGTTGGCTGAAAGCAGCTTTTGCAGCAAGCCGCCATGTTTCCAGGCATGCTATTTTTGTCCGGCCTGTGTTGCACGGGATGAAGTGACAGCTTTAAGAAACCTGGACGGTGCTATCGAGCTCTAGAAGCTCACGCTTTCAGATGTCCTGAATTGAACGTTGTGTATTGGGCTGTTTTCAGCCAACCAAGGCTCTGAGCACGGGCATCAAAAAGGAGGGAGTGCAGAAGCTGGCAGACAAAAACTGCACTTGAATTTGTTTCTAAAATCTTCCTTTTGGCCTGGTTTTCACTTTTTAATAATAACTTCCTTTTCAAGTAAAGAGGAAGCCTAATCGTTTTTGCTAAAAGATAATTCTGTGATCATTCTATGGTGCTGTTATAAGCTCAGTCCCGTGAACTGGGCTTACCTCTTCCAGAGGGCTTTGAGTCCATATATTCAGTGAAGTCTTCATTCACTGTATTTACTTCAGTCAATGTATTTAGAGAAGTTCAGCATCTCTTTTTTGACCAGCTTAGTAGATCTTATAGCAAAATATAAGGTTACATCTCATCATTTATGTGATGAGGGATCTTGTACTCCAGAAGTCACAGAACGTCTTTGTGATTAAAAATCTCTAGCTTTTTTTATAGTAATGCCTATTCTAGGACCTTCTAGTTTGCCTGAAAGACAGCATTAAAACACACTGGGAAGTGGCATTCTGCAGTCTTAGGAAAAGAATCCCATCCACGAGCTTTAGCAGATGTGTATCTCATTTTTTTAAGTGTAAATAATCTTTTAGAAGGAATCTTGTATACATCAAATCTGGCTGTGAACAATGGTTTCTGTTTCTCAAGTTATGGGAAATAGGGGACTGCCTTTTTTTAATGTGCTTTCTGAGCGTGAATATGTTTGGCTGGAGCTAGAGAACGCAGTTAAAGTAAAGGAGAAGACCTGTCAGGAAGCTCTTTGCTTAAGTCCTGATTTCTGAGTATTTATCTGTATTCTTTTGAGAATGTATTGCAGAAGCTTGAGTTTGGTATCTCAGTTTCTACTTCAGAGTAGCAATTAGTTCAGAAAGAGCCAAACTATGCTGATGTTTCTTGACAGGGTTATCGTTCACTTTCTGTAGTGGCTGAAGGTGTACCTGAAAGCTGGTTCAGAATCATGGAGTCATGCATTCTATGATCATAAAAAAGCAACCAACCCAGCAGTTTCCTTTTTCTCCTTGCAAATGGTTGTAATAGTGTATACTGAGGAGCATAATTTAATGAAAATGCAATAAAGAAAACAAAAATGGTGTTACTGTGTATTGATAGTTCTGTTTGTAACTTCTGAGAGAGCGTTCATGAGATCAATGTAAATGGCCTGCTGGAAAACAGAACTTGAATTGTTGTAGTTTAATATTAAACCTGAGTTGTTTTGGTCCATCCAAGCAATACGATGAAAAAAATCAAAGAGGAAATCAAAGTAGAGCAGGGCTTTGGGTGGTGCTTGTTGTTAGCTGTAATCTGCTGTATTTGAAATACACCAAAGGGGGGAAGTGATGGGATCCAGTCAGTGATAGGCAAAACTTCCTATGGATGCCTGTGTGAAATATCCAGAATTGATGTGAAGCAACTGGCAGTGAACTTCTTGTGGGAATGAATAGTCCTGATGATCCTAAGCTACCTCACTGAGTAATTAAAGCTAGCAAAATGCTGCTCCCAACAACAACAAAAATCCACC